TTTTTTTTTTTTTTTTTCTTTTTACATTCCTTTTTTATTTTATGCCCTTTGTCTTTTTAAATTAGCCTGTAGTTGTTTTATTTTTAACAACGTCCCTTAGCTTTTGAAGCACCGTTGCACAAGTCGATGTCTATTAACAGGAAACATCCGGGCTAAACCTTCTCTGCTGCCGCACAGACGTCACTGAACTCATTCATGTGCCTTGACTGAATCGAGCTTAGTACTACCTCGGTACRTCAGTAATGAGATTACTCTGCTCTAATACTGATGTGTCAGACAGGCTTTGCGTGTGTGTGCTGATATCTCTGTAGGTTTAGCCTTACGAGCACACTGGCTTTGAAAACCCACAATTCATGGGCCCAGTTTTTATAAGCACATCGGCACAATTCTCCTCATAACAGCTCTCGTTGTGGTTTGTCACAACACTGTGTGCTTCCATCCATGAGAGGATGACACTTCTGAAGGCAATTTTGCTCTCTCTCTCRTGATCATAAAGACGAATTACTGGTTGCCAAGGATGGGAATATGTGTCGTATTTCACTCCTCTGGGACTCAGAAAACCAACCACTACAAAGGTCACTTTACAAAAGATGTTTTTTTTTCATAACAACTCAAGGTCATTTAGTCCATWCTAGCATGGAGTCTTCTCCGTTCATTTGTTTTAAAATCCTAAAAGCTAAAGTAGCAATCACTCGAAACTGCTAYTCTCAGTATGTCTCAAGACGCCGTTCAGAGCTCATTGAAAGGCCTGTCTGTGTGAAAGCCGTTTGGGCCTTCTGTCAGCGTTCCCCTCACAGTTTGTGACGGGGAACGGAGAAACCTTGGCAAGCGTTCAGGCTATTTTCTTGACACTGTGTCTAGAGACTCAGACACAATCCTGGCAATTAACACAGATGAAGAACCGTCAGCCGTTTCRGCTGACTTCCTCTGTTCTCTGCTGATTTGACTTGGGAATTGAAGGAACTACAAATAGTTTTAATTAGCAGCAGAAGTGATATTGTTGTACAYGTTGTAAATACCAGTAATAATAATTTATTTAATGTAAAATGCTATTAGGAATCAAATTCTTATGAGCATAAAAGAGCCAAGAAAACAGTAAAACTAAAACACAAACCGTTCATGTTCAGTGCACATATATTTCCTCCTCTAAAAAGCCTTAAATGTTCACTTTATACTAGGTTCTACATCATAAACTCATAATTCACAAAGCATGCAAATATGGGGTGCCAAGTGTAAATGAAATGTTAAAAATTTCACTAACATACTGTGTTTTTCATTATTTAGCATTGGAAATGTTAGCAGAAGTTAGGATCAGATAACCACGATGATGTCATCATCCTGCAACAAACATAAACAATGGCCACTGTTAGCCAATGCTAGCTGCTGCTAACGCTGCTGCTAACACTGCTGAAGATAATTTAAATTCCATCCATCCATCCATCCATCCATCCATCCATCCATCCATCCATCCATCCAT